AATGGATTAGGACTAGATTTGGATAATTGTTGCTATTCGCCAGATATGGCAAGAAACATCATTTCTTTTAATGGTTTGTATGGACAAGGATTTAGATATTCATTTGATAATGAAAAGGGTTCTATTAATGCTTATCTTAATGGTGTTTTCTATTTTGAAGCATTGCCTTGTAATGGAATATATGAAACTGTGATGGTTGTAGACAATTTAGGAAATAATATGTTGTGTATCGATTCCTCCAATAGTTTGGACAAAGCATGCTTGTGGCATTGTCGTCTTGGACATGTCAACAAGAAACGCTTAGCCCAACTCCAAAAGGATGGAGTGTTGGATTCATTCGACCTTAGGGACAATGACGTGTGCGAGTCTTGTTTACTTGGAAAGATGACCAAGTCACCCTTCACTGGTTCTTGTGAAAGGGGTGAGGGTTTATTGGATCTCATACATACAGATGTATGTGGGCCCTTTAGATCCACTACAAGGGATGCGTTCCGCTTATACGTGACTTTTACCGATGATTATAGCAGATATGGCTATATCTACTTAATCAGGTATAAGTCAGAAACCTTTGAAAAGTTCAAAGAGTTCAAGCAAGAAATGGAGAATCAGTTGGGCAGGAAAATCAAGATGCTTCGATCCGATCGAGGTGGAGAGTACCTTAGTCTTGAATTCCACGACTACCTCAAGGAATGCGGAATCGTTTCACAATTGACGCCACCCAGGACACCGCAGTTGAATGGTGCAGCTGAGAGGCGTAATCGAACCTTGCTGGACATGTTTCGTTCCATGATGAGTCGTGCTTTACTACCTATCTCATTCTGGGGGTATGCCTTAGAGACTGCCGCCTATATCCTTAACTTAGTCCCTACAAAGAAGGTTGCCAAAACACCTCACGAGATGTGGACAGGGAAGGCTCCTTCGTTGGCACATATCAAGGTTTGGGGTTGCGAGGCTTTCGTAAGACGAGAGACTCACGACAAGCTCAAACCTCGTAGTGAGCGATGTATTTTCATCGGCTACCTGCAGAAGTCCTTTGGTTATCTCTTCTATAGACCGAGTGACAATGTTGTCTTCGTTGCGAGGAGAGGGGTTTTCCGATAGCAAGAACTCATAAGCCAAGGAGACAGTGGGAGGCAAATCGATCTTGAAGAGCTTCAAGAGTCGAGCGATGAAGGAACCTCTAACACTGGCATTTAACATGAGGAGGAAACTCCTGTTGAACCGATTGACGAGTCCCTACCTCTTAGACGTTCTAGTAGAGTTAGTGTTCCACCTG